CACCCCACCCCACCCCACCCACTGTGGAGGCGGCGGCCCTGCTGGCCTGCAGGGTACCATCAAGTGCATGAGGTTCGCGAAGGCGCACGCGCCCAACAAAGGGTTGGCAGCCCGCCATGGGGTTTGGGAGCAAGTGGGTGAGCGAAATGTGTGCAAACGATGCTTGGATGCATGATGGGTTTTGGTAGGAAGAGTGTGAAGGATTGCTGCCTGACTGAGTCTTTCAAGCGTGGGGTGCTATTTAGGGCCGACGTCGGACGCCGTCGATCAAGGATGTGTGGCAATGACTGGCAGCACAAGCTCATGCGTCAAGATCTGATGGAATGACCAGCTCCGAAAACGCAGGCACGGACTCACCGGGGGGCTCATGGCCGGCGGGGTTGGTGGCGACGGTCGTCTTGGTCAGGGCAGTGCCCTGGGCGCTGTTGGTGACTTGATGGCCGGCGGGGTTGGTAGTGGTGGTGGTGTGGGTGATGCCTGGGCGAGGGTGGGGGGTAGCGTGTGGCGAAGAGGATGGCAGATTTACAATTCTGCACTCGCACCTGGTCTGATTGTTACGGGTCTGTGGACGCAAGAGGCAGGAGCAAGCGCGGCCGTGACATCGTTGATGGTTTGCATGCATAGGGGCAAGCGCTGCATCACTGCAGGCATACATGTGTCGTGCGACAGGCTGGTGCATGCTGGATGCTGGGTCACCGCAGTACGGTAATGAACGGGCCAGGGGCGCATCGGCTGAGGGCTCCGCCCGCCGCCATCGTGCGCGTCGCAGCCGCGCACGTGCAATAGCGCGATACAGAAGCACCTTGGCTCAGGCCCCAGGCAGCGGGTCGTGCATATGGGTCACACACAGAGCTGTGTCGCTGTATGGCATGATGCATGGTCGGTGCAGGGGCTGCCACATCACATCCACCAGAATGAGTGAGACTCACTCTTGAGACGACGGCCCTGCTGGCCTGCAGGAGGGCATGCACAAGAAATCACAGGGGTTGGGGCCGCCATGGGTTTGGCGGAGGTGAACTTGGTCGAGTATGCAGGTGAGGTGCTTGGAGCGATGATTGATGTTGGGGAGATGTTTTGCAGGGCAGCATTGCTGTCTTGACATCTTATGTTGACAGCAAAAAGCCCAGGGCCGGGCATAGAAGAGAAACTGACCGCCAAAATTGCCAAGAACCCACGGGCAGCACCTGCAGATGCGTTGTCATTATTGCCAGGAACGGCGCGAGCCCAAGCAAAGTAACAGCAAGTGTGCGCAGAGACCCACCGGGGGGTTGGTTGCCGGCAGGGTTGGTGGCAACAGTCGTCTTGTCAAGAGCACTGCCCTGGGCGTTGTTGCTGGTGGGGTTGCCCGCGGGGTTCGTGGTGGTAGTGGTGGTGGTGATGCCTGGTGGTGTGTGGTGAGAGGGGCGGGGCAGGCGGGGAGATGGTGAAGAGCGCGATAAGATTGTATGTTGAAAGCAATGCTTGAGAGTTTTGGCACTCAATCTGTTGTGTACAGAGTGGCGTCTGGCTGGATACCTCATATGATGCAATGGGCAAGCGGGGCCGCGACGTCGTCGGTTGGTGACACCCACGCTGCAGTGCTGGCAAGCAAGCGACGACTGGCCACCAGCAAGAACCCCTACAGGCTCACTTCCCAAGGCGCAGACGGCCAGAGAGAGCAGGAACACGGTCACCAAGGCGCGTGGCGCCATCCTGTGCTCGAGAAGTCGAAAATTTCAACGATGCCGACGTCGGAGGTCAGCTGGGAAGCGCCTGTGTTGACTGTAACGCGTGAAAAATGCTTCAATGTGTCGAAAAACAAAAATTCATCCACGTAAAACAAAGTTCACGAGGATCCTAGGGGTCGATTTCATCAGCAGCTGAGTCATACCAACTCACCGACTCAGGCGTCGAAACGCCATAGGCCCATGCCGTCGATATTGGGATTGAGACAGAGAGTTTTGGATAGACATCAGATATTTAACATCACAGGCGCCCCGTAGGGCTTGGTTACGGCAGCAACTCGGAGGCGTGATGATGCGTTTGCGAGGGTGCGGGGTTCTGGGTTTTGGGCGGTCGCACATGCCTGCATTGGTGACTTAAGCCCTAGGGTGGATTATCATGTGAACTTATGTGGTGGCAAATAAAGCGTGGCTACGTAGCCGCATCTCCTGTCACTGCTGGAAGCCCACAGAGTCGTGTAAGCCTCATGGCCTCTCACGGGCACGTCCGGGTTCAGTGGCCATGGATGGCCACTGTACCGGCGTAGCAGGCAACCTCCCACAATAGAGGTGAACGGTGCTGCGAACGGCTTTGATTGAAGTGCCAGGATATACTGAGGTGCACTTTGGGGGTGTGCTCCAAGGTTGCAGACACGGGATGTTCAAGCGGTGCACAATCAATCGTAAATTCTTGGTACAGTACTCGCTCCTGGTGCAGCGTCAGCATCAAGGACTGCCCACGCACCAGCACCGTACGGTGCTGTGGCAGCGCCATTGAGCCCTTCAAAACACCCCGTTCA